TAAGACGATTAATCCAAGGTGGCCTATTCTTGAGAACAGTTCTCTTTGTGGTGTAAAGAACCTGCTCTTGGTAAGAGTTATATATTTCCTTCGGTAAGACAAAATAAAATTTGATATCTGAATTATCATTCTTATTAATATATTTCTCCAACCCACTCTTTATGATAGGATGACTCTCAGAAACGGTCATCTGGAAGAATGTGTCGGGAAAAACGAACGCATCGAAAGACGCGTTATTCTTTTGAGTTGGAATACAATACATGTTAGGAACAATCTCACTAATGTCACTGAACAGCAGTTTGTTCTGAATGGGTATTGATAGTTTTGAATTATTCACCCCGAAGCAAGAGACAGTTGATGCGAATAAAGGGCGAGTCCTAAACGATCCTCCTTTTAGTAACTTTCTGTGAGCGATCCGCTCAAATATAGCGCCCCGGAGTGTACTGTAATCACTTATCGATGAACTAGCTTTCACGAAATTTTCCAACTGATCTCTATAATTCTTTATGAGTTTATCCATTATCTCTTCAGAAACATAATCGGACGCAAACTCTAGAGTTGACATTGAATAGAAGGGTTTTCTCTTCCCTATAACACCTTTCCTTTTATCTGGTCTAGTTACTGCGGGTGATTTTGACGTAGATGGCTCTCCAGAATTATCTTCTACTTCAGTTATTTCCACATCTTCCACACCTTCACCTCCTTCCTCTCCTTCATCTTCTCCTTCATCCTCTCCTTTTGGTATGTTCGTGCAGATATGGACGATTTTATGACTGGCGCTATTATCATCTGTGGTCTCACCAACAAAATTTAACAAATTATCGTTAACCGAATTAATTGCCCTTTGAAGAAGATCTTGCTGAGAATCATTGAGAGCATAAAACAAGGTAAACCGAGGAATTCCACCCCATTTATTGTATAATTTCCGAACATATTCTTTAGTAAGATTACGGAAAAGCTTAATCCTGCATGTATCGATCTCTTCCCAAGACCATACCGGCATGTACCGAATAGTTGTTCCAAGCTTGTCAAAGCTACTGTAGTGGCGTTTCTGGGGCGAACAGACGAGAATTGTCTTGGCGGCATATTCCATCGGCTTCCTACCATCCACGATATACCAAACTTCTTCATTTCTCAAGTAATCTTTGAATGCGTGGATATTGTCTACGTCGTGACTGAAAGCGCATTTCTCACTGAAGAGAATCGGACAATTGTCAAGTTTGTGATATACAACTGTTTTACGTTGTTGTGAAAGGAGATAAAGTAGATAATAACCAAAGAAGGTTTTCCCAATTCCCGGATTGCCAGTAATACGCCAACGACGGATATTTTCATTCTCAAAAATAATATTACACAGGTGGTGATAACATTCACGGATGAACAGAGTGGATATATTGGAACCTTGTTCATCTTTTCCTAGAAGATAGTAAACGTCCCTGGATAACTCAAGGAACTGGCCACCATCATGCTTCTCAACTTTCCCATCCTTCAAAGCATTCCAAAACCTT